ATTTCTATTGTAGAGATGAGGTCTCACCAAGTTGCCCAGGCGGGTCTCGAACCCGAGGGCTCAGGCAATCCACTCACCTCAGTCTCCCAAAGAGCTGGGATTACAGGCTGAGCCACTGAGCCCGGCAGCTATGTTTCACTTAATGAAGAGGATACGTTCTTAAAAATGTGTCATTAGGCAATTCTGTTGTTCTGTGAACATCAGAGTCAATCACCAAACCTGGAGGACACAGCCTACTGCACACCTCAGTGAGTCACACACACCTGGAGGACACAGGTGCTGCACACCTAAGTGAGTCACACCTGGAGGGCCCGGCCTGCTGCACAGCCTGTGACCCCGCTGAATGCTGTAGGCAGTTGTAGCACAACGGTAATAAGTATTTGTGCATCTAAACATATCCTAACATAGAAATAGTACAGAAGAAATATGGTATATGGGGTTTTTTTTTGTTTTTTTTTGTTTTTTTTTGAGTCGGAGTCTCACTCTGTTGCCCAGACTGGAGTGCAGTGGCCGCTCCCAGCCACCGCAGCCTTGACCCCCTGGGCTCCGGCGATCCTTCCGCCTCAGCCTTCCGAGTAGCCGGAATTACAGGCATGTGCCACCACGCCCAGCTGATTTTTTGATTTATTGTAGAGATGAGGTCTCGCTGCCCAGGCGGGTCTCGAGCCCGCGGGCTCAGGCCATCCACTCACCTCAGCCTTCCAAAGGCGCGGGATTACAGGCTGAGCCACCGAGCCCGGCTGGTATATGGGTTTTTAAATGGTTCACCTGCATAGGGCATTTACATGAATGGAGCTTGCGGGACTGGAACTCTGGTGAGTCGGTGAGTGATGGTGGTCTGTGCACCACTGGATGTTTAGAATGCACTAAGTTTCTAAAAACTTGAGAAGTTGCGCCATCGCATTGGGACAACTATGACTTCATAGGCGACAGGGATGGTCCAGCTCTGTTATAATCTGACGGGGCCCTGTGGAAGCGTAGTCTGTCCTTGACAGAAAAACAGCTGTGTGGCATGTGATACACCAGTTAGTGGATGCTGTGGTGGATGCTGCGTGCTGCTGCTCTTTTCTGTTCTTCCTTCCCAGTGTCCGTCTCTCCTGAAATCCCTTGTGTCTTCATCAGACCTTCCTCTGAGCTGTGTTTACCACACCTGAACTTAAAGTCTTTGTCTGCTGAGCCTAACAACCGGACCAACTTTGGGCTTGGACTTGGGTTTACCCTCCTGCTTCTTTGTGTGTCTGGTGATTTTTACTGTTCACTGGTCATTGCGGCTTGCACCTGGGCATCGTATTTCTCTGTGATGAGTGTTGAGCTCCGTGGTAGCAGTGCCCTGGATGGCCGTCCGGCCCTCGACGGCTGTGGAGTTCTGTCCCTGCCTGGCGTGGCTAGCTGGGTTTTGGCGCTCTCCCGCTGTCCCCGGGCAGTCACAGACTCGGCTTCCTCTGCGCCACTGGCGGCCCGCGTCCGCCCAGGCCACGCGCTTGTGGTCAGCACAATGCTTATGGGGATGCTCTACTGCCTTTCCACCCAAAAATGGTTTGGGGGAACATGTTAACTCCCTACACAATGTGTGGCGGCACCTGGGTTTTCATTGGTTGCTTTTCACCCTCAAGAGAGCCTCTGCGTCTTTGGTTGCGCATTCATCACTTATGTCCATGAGCCTACCTAAGCCTTTCTTCCCGCTGGGCCTCCTGTCCCCTGTGAGCACCCACCCCTGTCCCGTTGCTCGTGTTGTGGTTACTTGTCCTCACCCCTGCCAGGAGCTCCTTGATGTAGGAGTTTCTTCCTCATCCGTGTGGCATGAGGCTTTGGGTGGCAGCATGAAGTATGGGAGATTTTCAAGGTGCATTTCTATGATGTGTCCGTCTCGCTCACACTGTGAAGGGAATCTTGTAGGCGACCAGCTCCGCCTCGGCCCTTTCCTAGGCCTCCAAGTGGCCCATGTAACAATCTGGCTCTGGTTGTTACTCTTCAGACCTTCCAGATGGCCCAGATCAAGGTAAAAACGATCCCGTTAGAAGCAGAAGGCAGCGCCCACGTGCTCCTCAGACTTCAGAAGCCTGAAGGGTGTCACTGTCCTGCCACTTCTCTGCTGGCATGGGAAGCCCTCGCGACAGGACCACAGATGGGCTATGCTGGCCAAGCTCTCAGCCCCTGGGCTTTGCCCACTTCCACTCTGACCCCTGTGGACACCTGTCCAGCGGCCAGGGCGCAGCCTGAAGCAGGGCGGCCTTCTCCTGGACTGTGCAGTTGAAGAGAACTTGCTCTGCTCTGGGTCAACCCAAGGGACTGACTGAACTTTGTACCCTACAGAGATGGCACTCGTCTGGCTGCATGCCGCCTGGAGACCTTCTGCATGCCGCCTGGAGACCTACATACTGGGGTGTGTCCTGCTCACCCGGGCAAAGGTGGCATTTGCTTACCTGGTGCTGTGGCCTGTGCTACTCAGCAGCCAGCTCCAGCCCAAAGAGGAGAGTGGGCGGGCAGGCTCGTGTTGCTAATATGAGTGCCCACCTGTTTGAACTGCACCTGAGGAACCCTTGGCCCAAAGATGTGGTGGCTGGCAGCCTGTAGAGAGGGACATCCTGATCTTGTTGGCACCAAAATCTCCTTATTTGGTTTGCTGGAGGCTCCAGGTTCTTTTCTTAGAGAAAAGGCTTTCCCTCAGTGCCTGCAAGATCTCCTGTTGGAAGCATTCAGCCTCGGCCATGAACTCAGACAGGGAATGTTAAGTTCATTTGGTTGAGTTGAACACAACCAGATGTTATTTGGGGCCAGTCTAAATGGGTGAAAGACAAGTGATCTTGGGTTTACAGGGTAGGTTCCAGATTTGCTGGAAAACAAGCCACTGACTCACAGGCCTGAGGTGCATACGGGAAGCTTATCCTGGGAGTTCCATCCTCTCCTTCCCCGCAGGGGTGGCTCTGGCATGGCTGCCATGGTCCATGGCCTTGTGGGATGCTTGGAGGGTCCTGAGCGCCACTTTAAAATGCTCCCGGTCCCCGGATGAATATAAATTGCTCTACCAAAAAGACACCTGTACACGCATGTTTATTGCCATACTGGTCACGATAGCAAAAACATGGACCCATCCTGCTGCCCTTTGAAAGCAGACTGGATAAAGAAAATTTGGTACGTATACACGATGGAGTATCACGCAGCCATAAAGAAGACCAAATCATGGACTCTGCCACGACTTGGATGCCGTTGGAGAACATCCTACTATGTGAACTGTCACAGAAACAAAGAATGAATACCGCATGTTCTCATTCATATGCGAGTCCTAAACACTAGTCGCACTAGCACAAGGATGGGGTTGGCAGTCACTGGGCACTGCGGTGAGGGGGAGGGAAATATGAGGGCAGGGGGCTCGTGACAATGCACAGGGTATCTGGCCCACGGCCCGGGAGAGTCAGGGCCAGCTAGAAGCCCGGGCTTCGCCTGCACGTGGCTTTCGTACGTAGTAAGCCCTCACTTGTACCCCACAGCTCTATAATAAATAAATATATTTTAAAAGCAAAGAGCTGGGTGTTGAAATGGCAAAGAACGCGTTGCAATCAGCAGAGCTGTTATAAGTCTTATAAGGCTGCAATCTCTAGAGAGACTCAGGTAATTGGCTTAATACGGCTAACAATGCGAATTCATTTGTTTAAAAAGGATTTTAAAAAATGAAATGCTCCAGATACTTGCAAGGATGGCTTCGCTGGGCTGAAGGCAGATGAACAGGTTCTGTGGGGAAAAGTGGAGCGCGAACTCCCACCCGGGGATTGGGGGTCCGGGGACTGGGGGAGGACCGTGTCCCCTTCCCATCACCGCAGGCTGTCCCTGCAGGGGCGGGGAGAAAGCGCAGCCTGCCCGGGGTCTTCCTCTTCTGACCTCCTGCGCCCGCTACACACGGCCTGTGTGTCACACACACGGGTGTCGTCCTGCGACTTTGAGGGTGCGACTCTGTAGAGTGCCCGCCAGAGCCTGTGGGTAGAGTGGAAGATACATTCGTGTGTTGCTTTTCTCCTTTTCAAGCATCTCTCCTGCGATTCGGTGGTAGAGCACACCTTCTGGGTTACCATCATTTTCAGAAAGCCTCATGTGCAAACAAAGTTTTGTGGTGTGCCTAATGTATCTGACGTAGTTCAAGGGTAAGTCAAAACATGTTTTGTGTGTGCGTGTGTGTGTGCGTGTGTGTGCCCACAAACACATGCCCATTCCTGTGTGCTCCCCAAGGACCAGTTCATCCTTCTTCCAGTCTCCCTTTAAGATGCTGATTTTGTTTGCATTGACAGACCTTGGCTCTTTAGTGCACTTTTGAGCTTACAGAAAAATTGGAACAGAAAGTCCAGTGAGTTACCTCTCACGGTTTCCCCATTATTAGCATCTTGTGTTAGGGTGGTACATTTATTGCCAGTGACAGGCCGATATGGAGATACATTATCATTCAATAAAGTCCGTAGCTTACACTGTGTTTTGCCTTCTGTGGTTTTGACCAATGTGCATTGACACATGTTCACCATGACAGCGTCACACAGTGTAGTTCCCTGGCCATAAACCACCGTGCGCCCCCTGTTCATCTCCCTCTCCCAACCCTGGCATCCACTGATCAGTTTACTGTCTCCAGAGTTTCGCCTCTTCCAGATGTCAGAGTTGGAGTCAAGCCCTACATAGGCCTTTCACGGGGGCCTCGCTCAATTGGTCATATGCATTTGGTTTCTTGACTGCCTTTTTGTGGCATCTTTTTAGCACTGGATGACGTCCTAGTGTCTGGATGCGCCACGGTCTATTTACCCGTCCACCTGCTGAGGGACATCTTAATAGCTTCCCGGTTTTGGCAATTATGAATAAAGCTGCTGTAAACATTTATGTGCAGGACTTTTGGCAGACTTAGGTTTTTCGGATAAGTACCAAATTTTAAAATTGCTGTATTGTAAGATGCTGGATTAAAAAAAAAAGTCTCTGGGCGTTGGGCACCTCCTGGTGTGCTGACAGACTATGTGTGTTTTCACCAGGGACGACTACCATGAGGACGGGTTCTGCCAGCCATACCGGGGCATCGCCTGTGCACGCTTCATTGGGAACCGGACCATTTATGTGGACTCGCTCCAGATGCAGGGGGAGATCGAAAACCGCATCACGGGTAGGAGCCGCAGGCCTTTCTTGAGATCCTCTGTGCACATGTGCGGCCACCTGTGGCCCTGCAGATGGTGGCCTCTGTGTGTTGTATCAGTTAGTGGCACAGACAGTAACTTCCATCTTGCAGTAGGAAATCAGAAATCTCTTTTAAAAATTTTTTTGTAGAGATAAGATCTCACTATGTTGCCCAGGCTGGTCTCAAACTCTTGGCCTCAAATGTTCCTCCCACCTCAGCTTCCTAAGAGCTGGATTACAGGCATAAGCCACCGTGCCTGGCCAGAGAGCTGTTTTAGAGGCAGGTGCAACTGCCAACATGATCTTCCCTGAAATGTTCCCAGCTTTGATGTTGGAATTAGTAAGTTCAGGTTGCTTAGATGATGCTTCGGCACTCAACATGGTCAAATCACATGGGTCTGAAGCACAGTCCTTCCTGGTGGCCAGGGCCTCCCGCCCAGCCAAGCACTCTCGCCCTGCTTGACTTCCCCTCATGTCCTGACCCCTCCACCCGCTCTGAGCCGTGTTGGTCCACAGGATCACAGGCCTGGCTACAGCTGTTGGGGAGAGAGGGCCACTGAGCGTGGATGGTAGGGACGCCATGGTGAGCACAGACTGCGTCTGCCTCAGTTTCCAGAGAGCAGCGCCAGATCTTCAGACACCTGGCGGAGGCTCTGAGAAGGTGGCCTGTTAGAGAGGGAAGCTACTCGTCCTCACCTCTTAGGACTTCACTCCCCTGGCTGGCGGCCCCCAGTGGCCAACGGGAACCCACTGCTCAGTCCCTCTGGGGGAGCCCGTGGGAAGCAAAAGGATGCACTAGACGAGCATCCTGCAGCCCCTTCCTGCCCTGTCTCCACACACGCATCGCTTTCTCCCCGGACTCCACAACACGACCCTTTAAGTGGATGCTCTGCATGGGGGCTCTTGAACCCTCAGCAGGTCGGAACAGAATGGAACTGGGTGACCTCTGGCCCCAGGCTCCTGGGAGAACCTGGTGGAGGGAGGCAGGGCACCCCCGGCACAGGGTGAGAAAGAGGGTCCTTGGCGTCCCTGACATGCCCGTCTAGGTTCAGACCACCCTCAGACCAGAGGGTCTAAGGTCATGGCCCAGGAGGGCCTGCCTGCTGGCATGGGCATAGTCACGAGATGCAGGAACCTGAAGACGCCGTCCGGTCCAGTGGGAGACGGTTCTGAAAATGCTGGAACCTCTCACGGCAAAAGCTTTTTATGCCATTTAAAGCAGAACTTCTCGGACATTTTTGACTTCAACACACGGTAAAAAATGTAGAGTGTACTTCACGCCACGATGTAGTATACACACACAGGTGTGTACACACAGACAGGTATATACAAACAAGTGTGCACACACAATTATACACACAGGTCTGCACATACACAGCTATACAGACACAGACAGGTATACACACAGGTATGCAGAAACAGACAAGAATACACACATAGGCATACATACACACACACAGATACACACACACAGGTATGCATGCACAGGTATTTCACTGGCTGAACTGCTTCCAGAAAATAGCATTCCCCCTTTATAAAAGCAGTACACTGGACTTTTCTCTCCAGCTCTATCAGGAGGAGCCCCCAAGAAACCAAGAATTATCTTTTGGAGGGTGGGCTCCTTGTGGCATTCTCCTCCGGATCAAACAGTCAACCGAAGTTTTTATCCGGAAGTTTTGAGAAAGTTGCGTCACGATTTGTGGAAGAAACATCCCGAGTTGTGGCAAACAAGTGACTGGTTCTTCCACCATGACAACAAACCTGCCCACACCGTGCTGAGTGTTCAGCAGTTTTTGACCAAAAAATGTCATGACCCCTGTGGCCCACTCTCCCTATTCACCGGATCTCACCCCAAGCGACCTTTTTGTGTCTCTCCTGACGAAAACAGTCCTCAAAGGGAAACAATTTGTTAGTTGGAAGAGGTGAAATCCAAATATGGCAGAAGCAAAAAGGCATAAAAATTGACGAGTTCAAAAATTGTTTTGAGCAGTGCAAAAAGCATCTCGATAGGGGTGCTGCATCAAACGGAGAGTGCTTTGAAGGTGACTGAAGTTTAAATGTGTCAGAACAAATACACAATTTTTTATAAACAAATTCCAGCTTTTTGTCCCTCTCCCCCCTTGTATTTCATGAAAGAAAAAGTGAGTTGCAGCCCTTAACAGGTACCGTGTTCCCTGACATCCCCGGTCATCCTGGCCATGTTTTAAGATGCCAACTGCAGACCCCAGAATTGATCTGACACCTCACTGATGAGCAGGTGCTGACTTAAGGCACAGACAGGATTGTCCCTCAGCCATCTTTTCAGGAGCTGTGTAAGGAGTGAAACACTTGGCCGTCCAAGCAGTTTTTAGAGAAGAGTTTAGAATGAGGATTTCTTGGATGGATGGCTTTTTGAAAACGGTACATTTGCAGCTCCTCTCAATGACTGACTTGTGTGTTGGAAAACAAGCCCTGGGTGACGTTCAGGATGAAAACCGGGTGCTGAGGTGTTGGTTCTCCTAGGCCCAGAATCGCGCTTTCAGAAATGGTGACAAGGCCAGGCTCGGTGGCTCAGCCTGTCATCCCAGCACTTTGGGAGGCCGAGACAAGTGGATTGCCCAAGCCCGCGGGTTCAACACCAGCCGGGCGACTTGGCAAGACCTCGTCCCTACAGTAAACCAAAAATTAGCCAGGCGTGGTAGCACGTGCCTGTAGTTCCCACTCCTTGGAAGGCTGAGGCAGAAGGATTGCCGGAGCCCAGCAGGTCAAAGCTGGGGTGGCCATGAGCATGCCACTATGCTCCAGCCTGGGCGACGGAGTGAGATTCCAACTCAGAAAAAAAAAAGAAATGGTGACACCTTCTGAGTGGGAGGAGGAGGAGGGGACATGGTATCATGTCGAGCCCAAGAGAAGGGACAGGTCTGACTTCCCGGGCAGTCTCCACCTGCCTGGAGCAAGGCCAGCACTTGTGACAGCCCTCCCTGGAACGTCACCTCCGTAGTGACAAGACTGAGCCGGGCTCAAGCCTCTGCTCTTCACCACATCCCAGCCATCCCGTGCCCTGACCTCTCAGCCTCTGCTCCTCGGATTCAGTGTCAGCCACGAGGAATCCCAGGGACTGGACGTGACGAGCACTGCTGTGCTCCGGTCCCGGCCACAGCTGTCCCCAGGCCCCTGCCCGTCAGCTGCCGGTGCCTGGGCCTTCAAGCCACGGGCCACGTTGCAGGCTCTGGGTGGACGTTCATCCCCAGGCTGCAGGCTCGACAAGTCGCCCCACGAGGGAAGAAGCAGGCCCAGAGAGGATTAGTGACCATCCCAGAGTAAGCAGACAACCGGGGTCCTCCTGGGTGTCTCCGGGAACCACAGGCAGTGGCCGCGCTACCTGCTGGCCGTGCCCGGCACGGCGGGCACCACGTCCCTCGTGGGCTTTCCTCTGTAGGGAGGACACGGCCTCCGCAGGCTGTGCCAGCCAGGCCACCCCTCCCTAGCTGTCCAGGCTCAGCCTTGTCTGACTGAAGTAAAGTGGGAGGGGGCTCAGGGCCATCCACACCTCCCTCGGAGCCCTGCCTCGACCAGCTGCTCCCTTGCATCAGCCGTCCCGCCGCCCACACCCCGAGCTGGTTCCAGCCCTACTCACTTCACACGCCATCCATGGGCATCTTGCTCCTGAAAAACAGGCCAACTCCCCCTGCCCCATGAGGCTCAGACCCTTCACGTGCTCTAACCCCTTTACACAAAACTCCCCAGATCTGTGATGCTGCTGACCCTACTTTACACGGAGGGCTGGGCCCATCTCCTCCTGGACACCTGTCTCCAGGCCCTGAGGTCCCCTGGCCCGAGTAGGACCCCTCCTAGACACGTCCCCAGGCCTGGGCTCGACCCCTCCTGGACATGTGTCTTCGGGCCCCAAGATCCCCTAGCCCGGGCTCGTCGCCTCCTGCACACGCATCTCCAGACCCTGAGGTCCCCTGGCCCGGGCTTGTCCCCCTCCTGGACACATCTCCAGGCCTCGAGGTCCCCTGGCCCGGGGATCAACCCCTCCTGGACATGTCTCCACGCCCCAAGGTCCCCAGGCCCGGGCCGACCCCTCCTGGACGTGTCTCCAGGACCCCAGGTCGCTTGGCCCGCACCGTCTCCCTGCTGGACACGTGTCCCCTGGCCCGGGCTGGTCCCCCTCCTGGACACGTGTCTCACCCCAGGCCGGCCTGGCCTTCCGCGGCTGCCTCTGGTCCTCTGCTCCCTCACAGCCGGTCCTTGGAAACGACCCTTGCAGGGGCAGTCCGGACCTTCCCGTCCTGGAAGGAGCACCCTGGAAGGAGCCCCGGGCTGGGGGGGGCTGGCGTTCCCCCCTTCCTGCCCCGCCTCTGAGCTGA